AATGAGGCCTATTAGTGCTGTCAATCGATTAAATTTTTTTAATTGTGATTAATCGCATCAATGCCTGAGTTAACTCGCGATTAATCGCATTTTAATCGCACATTTTTTTCCTGATTGAAAATCCTTTAAATACTCTCGATGACATACAAAAAAATACATACAGGCTAGGTTTGTGCCAATGTTCTTTTTTTAAAATGAAAACAGGTCACAGATACTGATTTATGCCAAAAATAACAAATATGTAGGCAAAAAAAAGGCCCTGAAAACAGGCTGATGTAAAAGACAGTCTTTACAGTTAATACAGTCTTTTGAACAAAGACAAGCATTTTACCCTACTGCTATAAAATTTAGTAGAGTTAACATTAGATGTTAATTAACCAAGATAATAATGAACAATTTTCAATCAATACATCAAAATCAATAGACCGACATCACTAGATGGAGGTAGTCTATGCTCTAGAAAGTTACTTTTCAGCCTCTTAACAAAAATGAGAACACACACACACCCACTCACCCACACACACACACACACACACACGATACCGACCAGTGGCGTACACAGACAGCAAGAGTGCCGTAGCAGATTCCATTTCACCTCAGTAATCAGTTTTCTCAGCGTATTTCAGGTTGCTACTAGGCAGGCTGCAGAGGGATGTACTTGGAAAATTGTACCATAAAACCACATAGCGTTAATCTCACGTTAAAAAAATTATCGCCGTTAAAATGGCCTTGCGTTAACGCGATAATAACGCGATAATTTTGACAGCACTAATATATATATATATATATATTTTTTTTTTATATAGTATAATATGGAACCTTTATTTATTATTTTTCCAATGAGAAAATCAGATAAAACAAAAACTGTCTCACTTAAATGATTGTTGTTACTTTGAAAGGAAAGCCATTATAGAGTGTTATACAAACTGTACAATGACTTCTACCCATTTTTTCAAACTTAAATATCCTCTAATAAAATATTTCCGATGCCAGGGATGTTCTTGTTTTTGTGAGATACTCGGTACACCAGAGAAAATCCATTTGTTAAGGTACAGTAATTTACATCCTAAACTGTGGCTGTCCTTGCTGTTAAATTTGCCCACTCTGTCCTACATTTCCACAGCATGTAGAGCAGATTTATTCTTGGTAATCATCTAATATATTTCCATTATATTACATCTCCCATTTAACTTTAAAGGGTATCATTGCTGAAAGTATATATGGTGGCGTATTTACATCTCAGCTGAGTTCTGCATCATATTCATACTGGCTTCAGATGCACAGTTTTAATCCAGTGATGCTGTTGGCGCATTAATCCCCAGCCGGGTGAAGCAGATGGCTGCCCTCATGAAGTCCGGTTTATGCTGGAGGTCTCTTCCTGTTAAAGGGGAACCCTCCCCTCTGACTCTGTATATTCTCACAGGACACTATTACCCTGAACTGGACTCTGTTAAAACAAACCTAACTGGATTGGATTTATTTGGACTATTTCAAACTGTTTACATCCTCTTTAAACCAGGGCTGCAGAGCTACAGATTTATCCTGTTTTTCCTCTTCTGAGAGACTTTAAAGTCTTAAATCATTAATCCCATTATATTAAAAACAGCCAGTAGATACTGGGCAGAAATCTGTTTCCAAATGATGATTTTTTTCCCTTTTATTTAAACCTACTAATCCCTAATAAACCTAATAACTGTTCCAATATTGTTAATATTTTTTTATATCTCCATGGAGGACTGTTGACTTATTTCAACCACTGGAGGTTTTGCAGCATGGTTGACCTTTTTCAGGTCATGCCACAATATTTCCCTGTTGGTTAAGTCTAGACTTTGACTAGACCACACAAACCCATCCATGTCTGATGTTATGGAATTATCCGGAAGTGGATTTGCTTGTGGGGAAACCTGAGGTCTCTTGAGCATGAGGTCACAGACTGAAGGTCGGACATTCTCCTCCAGGGATTTCTGTTAGAGAGCAGAATTTACTGTCCCTTCTGTTCCAGCAAGTTTAGGTCCAGTTAAAGCAAAGCATCAACTTATAGCTCATCATCACAAAGTTCAAATATGTGCTTTGTTTTTAGAAATGATTCCAATTCTGAGACAGACCATTCTGTTCTTTTAGGTCTGCAGCCATTTTTGACACTCAACTGTCATAGAGGACATGTTTTATCCACTTTTTTATTGTTGAATCGTGAACTCTGACCTTAAAGTATTAAACCCTGCAGCCAGGGCTTTAAATGTTGCAGTGGATTCCTTTGTGACTTTCTGAATCAGTCCCTCTGTTATGCCAGAAGCCATGATATTACCTTTGAACACTGGGGAAGGAAGATGCAGTTGCAGCAAACACTCCAAAAGACACCAGACAGGAACATGTGATGTGACATCAATGGCGTAAATATTGGTAACAAAAACAGCAGTTGCTTACGGGCCCACGACCTCTTAGGGGCCCCATCACTGACACCTGGTTGGCCCCCTATGCACTTGTAGACTAGGACGTCTGTTTGCAGATCTAATGGTGCGAAAAATTCCTCTTAGACCCCCTGATACTGAAGGAACTGACTGCACAGGACCTTATTTATACCGCAACACCGTTTAAACACGACACCAATTAGCAAAGCAGACAGTGGTTCTTTTAATTACTATTACTATTACTATTAATAACTTTGTATAGTTCATATAATATGTTTCAAACCGCAATAAAGATCTTAAAAGAACGATGTATTTGAGTATTTTATTTTTTACACTACGACTTTGAATTCTGGGTAACCCAGAGCATCGATAAAAACCATAACCGTTACGTACAATGTGTTAGCGACCATGGATAGCAAAAAGAGGTACTTAAGTGGATTCCAGAAAAGAAAGAGGAAAGAAGAGCTGCTGGAAGAAGGGAAAAAACTTCCTAAAATAAACACGTTCTTTCAAAGAACCGAAGAGGTAGAGGAGGACGTAGCTAAGCATCTCCCTGAAATGAGTTTTAGTAACTTGGGATGTCTGTAACATGTGATGGTGCGCAGTCACCAATGGTTCCATTCAAGGTGCGCAGTCACTATTTTTTCATTTGTATGAAAATTGTGAGAATTGCATAATCGTATCTTCTTGGCCGATTTATGGAACTGTCGCCGTATCCTGAACCTTTATCACGTGTTGTACTTCATATAGGGCCCACCCAGATGATGTTGCTTACGGGCCTATTGTTGTGTCGTTTCATCATTGGGTAACATGGCAGAGGAACCACACCTTTAAGTCTGCTCAAGTGTTTTACTGGCTGATCTCAGAATCATACAGCTGCAAAATATATCATCTGTAATGTTATCTGTCAGTTACAGGAAGAACTTGGAGGAATCCAGACATGTTGAACCAGGAAACCAACAAAGGACACATGTAGCCCCCCTGCTAGGCCATTTAAAGCACAGACCTATCAGTCACAGCCTGGGCTAAGATTTCCTGATCATTGGAGATGCCCCAGCTTTCCAAAGCAGAGGTTACAGATCTCGCAAAGTTATCATGTTCCATGTTTTACTGTAGAGTTAAATCATTTTTATCAGCACTGTTTATGCAACAGGAGAAAAAACTGAAGCTTTTCTTCACACTTTTATTGTGAAATCCTCTTAGGAAAACCGCCCAATAAGAAGCTTGTTCTTTAGATGTGCGCCAACTAAAACATAATCCTATTTCAATGTAAATATTCCAGAGTGATGCAAGAAAGAGCTGCAGGTCACAGTTAAACTGCACCCCGCTGATGTGTAAAAACTACTTAATAAAGTAGGCATTAAAACAACATAACCTCTGACTGAGCCCAGCTGCTCTGTAAACACGAGGGGAGCTGCAGAGGTGTGTGTTTGCTGCAGTCTTAGACCCCCTCCACAAGCTGCTGAGAGTGTAAACAAGCATGGAAAATCTCCCAGATCAAAAGTTTAATATCCTATCTGTGTTTGGCGGCGTCCTTTTTAGGAAAAAAAAAATTAAAACAGAATCTACACAGAGTTACAGCGGCGAAAATCCTCCCCCTTGTGTACACAGGATGTTCCTCCTCTCTCCAGTTGTCATGCAGCCTGTGTGGCTGGAAAATGGAAACTTATTTGCTCAATTAGAGGCTCCAGAGCCCCGTCTTGTTTTGATGAACTCTGAGTGTAAATAAAAATGTACATTAAACGAGTCTTTTTTTTTTTTTCTGAGCAACATGCAGATGATGATGATGGTTTCTGTGTTTTAATCTCGCTGCTGTCTGCAGAAGGCCTCTGAGGAGGAATAAATGCTCCCATCAATTAGAGTGAAGACAGCCTTACAGACAACACTGAGGGGAAAGCTTTTAGCGGTGAGCCTCTTTAGCCTAAACGCCTTCAGATTTGGAGAATAAATCAAACTCTAACAGTTAAAAATGGTGGACGACACACAGTGCCTCATATTATCCCTTAAATGTTTTCTTAGGGCTAAATACAAGCCTGCAGGCCTAAATGAAGGTTAAATTAGCACCTAGCTGAAAATGGAAACAGTAGCTCTACTAGGACAGACCTGATCTCACAGAGCGGGCAATCAGAGCCTTAAATAGAGAAGCATCCAAGAAGCCCATGCTAACTCTGGAGGATCTGCAGAATCTCACAGCTTGGGTGGGAGGATCAGTCATCCATCCAGTGAAGTACTATTTACTGCGAACATGGAGCCCTGTGAGAAGCTGCTCTGCTCAGATCGGACCTTTTTTGTTTCTCGGCCTGCATCCAAAACGCCATGCATGGCAGAGATCTAACCCTGGACATCATCCTGACGACATCATCCCCGCTGTAGAGAATAAAGGTGGCCAAATATGATGGGGAGGCTTTTCTTTAGCAGGGAAAGAAAGCTGATCAGAGCTGAAGCTGCAGATTAAACTACAAAGAATAGAGCTAGAGTGGCATCAATACATAATCATGTGTTTAAATGGCCTAGTCAAAGCCCGGGATTACATACAGTAGAACAGACATTTTCTAACCCCCCATCCCTCTCGATCACATGTGCTCTGCTGACCTTTCTCAGCAGGATGACGCCTTCCTGCGTGGTCCTGTTGGCGATGATGTCGAACATCCCCGGCCCGTCGCTCCCGATGATCCTGTACTCCATCTCCGCGTTGGGGCCGATGTCGGCGTCCATGGCGCGGACGATTCCCACCGTGGAGCCCAGCTCGTTGGACTCCAGCACCCGGAACTCGTACAGGGCTGCAGAGAGGGGAAAAAAAGAAAAAAAAAGGTTGATCAGGTTAAGATTTTCAGCTAAATTGTAAAAGCATAAAGAGAAAATCCAAGGTTTGTGTGGTCATGACAACCGAGGTCACATCTTCTTTGCTCTAAAGCCACAGCATGGTTATGGACCTTCTAAATCAATTCAATTGAGAAGAAAAAAACAAAACAACAAAACAAACAAACAGCTTCCTTCCAAAAAGAGCTATTGACCAAAGAAAAATGTCTTTTTTTTGACCTTGTAAATGTGTAAAGAAGCGGCGTAAAAGGGTGAGTCAGACAGTTCAGGTCAGGGAGAAGGTGAGTGGGAGCAAATCAGAGCCCAGAGAAAAGCGTGTGAATAGATTTACTGCTGTTAGATTAGCAGATGAGCTGTAAAACATTCCCCGCTTCCAAAACTGACTCGCTACAAGCCCCATCGACTCTCCGAGTTCAGGAGGCAACATAAATTCAAGGCCAATTTGCTCAACATAAATTAATTGCCTCTTCTTGTTTTGATTTGTTAGTTGTTTTTTTTTGTGTTGCTTTTATTTATTTCTTTTTTTTTTTTGCCAGATGATTTCCTGTTTGGAGGCCGGGCGGCGGATTGATGGTTGCATCTCGTATGCTTAAATGAATCGGCAGCAGAGAGCGGCTGTGATATACGCGCTCGCAGCCTGCAGAGACAAACAGCACTGACACACTAATAAAACATGCTGACAGTGTTTTGGCAACGCCTGAATCGGCAGGTCTGTGTGACACTTAACTCCAAACACATTCGCTGAAAGGGGGGGGGTTCTGTGAGAAGGTTTCCCTGAGGCTAACAGGTATTTAGCATCAGGAGGAGAAGAAGAGGCATCACTCTGGCAGACAACAATGATATCGCTTCCTGACACTCTTCCTCCTCTGGGTGTCCCGCTACAATCTCTCCTCCTCTTTCTCTGTTCCCGTTTTATTTTAGTTTTTCGGTCCGTCCTCTCCCTCCATCTTTCTTTCAGCGTGGAAACGTCAGGATCGGCCTACAGGCTTCCTGCACATATAGATCTAAAATAAGTCCCCTGTCTCTTTTTGTCTGTTTTTTAAAGGTCATAGCAGAGGTCAGGCTTAAAATATGGCGGCAGCTAAAGCTACAGATTGATGCATGGATGGATGGACGCTCAATGGGACAGAAACTAATCAAACCCTGGAAAATACTTTAATATTTCAGGCGGTGTAGGAACCCTGAGTCAGGTGCTGGTAGGATCTCTGCAGTTAGCGCTGCCCACACTGAGCAGATAGGGGGGGGTAAGCTGTGAGCGCGGTAATCCGTCAATCCGATGGGAGGAAAAGAGACGAGAGGGAAAACGGCGGTGAGAGTGAGTCAGCCTGGTATGTGGATTGATGGCTGAAAGGGGGGAAGCACCAAGGACAGTTTGAGCACAAGAGTGAGAACACATTTTTATGGAGTAAAAAAAAACGGCAGAGGAAAGACTTAACAGTGGGAGAGAGACAAAGAGGGAGGAAGAGGAGGGGAGATAAAACCCAGTGAATGCACTCTCCTCGTTTAATAGGGATTACAGGGCTGATCTGGTGCACTTTGCAGGACCCTTCGCTCCGTCATATGGCTCTATATTTAATTATTCTGTGCCTTTAAGAGGTCCGCCCCAGTCGCACACAAACCCAGACTCCCTGCAATAATCCAAACTCATTTTGAAACTGACACCAGATGGGGGCTGCCAGCCTGGCACCGGCCCCCGCTGGCCACTGGTCACTCTGTGTGTGTGTGTGTGTCCAGAAGGCCTGTGCTCACTCACTCTTGGTGAAGCGCGGCGGGTTGTCGTTGACGTCCGACAGCGTGATGCTGACCGTGGTGGTTCCTGAGAGCCCGCCCATCTGTCCCGCCATGTCTTTCGCCTGGATCACTACCTGGTAGTGCTCCTTCACTTCCCGATCCATGCCGGGCAGCGCAGTCTTGATCAAGCCTGACGATCAAAACACACACAAAAAAAACAAACAGGTTTTAAGTTAATTTCATTTTAAAAACCTAAAACATGGAAACATTACCAGTTCAGAAAACCTTTAAAACAGAAAGTCAGCACTCCTTTATTAGCTTATTAGCCATTAGCACCTCATTAGTCTGTTTTCCTCTGCCACCCTGAAGGCAGCTGCTTTGCATGAGATCACACTGTGAACCCGTCACCCTTCAAACAGGGTCACTTTGACAGCTTTGCACCTGACTTCTGGTTACACTGGGCCATGGAAATATCTTCCATCTCATTTTCCTATGAAAATCTGTTAAACAACACAAATAGGCCTGGGTTATGCACCATGTAGGCCATTAGAGTGTGTGGCTTAGGTAAACAAATCTTTATGGTCCAGCTGTTTATCCGACTTATTAGACCAGAGTCACAGATTTGATGATCTGAGACTTTGCTTGGTTAAACCAGAAAAGACTCGTGACTCAACTTTAACTTGTTCTTCAGAGTGTAAACCAGAAAGAACGAGATTCTCTCATCATTCACTGGTTGACAAAGCAAAATAATAGAAAGTCTGCATCATTTTCACATCATCAGCTATTAGAGATGCATCACTATCATTTTTTTAATGACTTGGACTTGGGGCTTGGCAGTTTTGACCAAGTCTTACGACTGTTTAATGGGTAAATTGACTCCCTATGCTATTCAATACAGTTAAAAATATTGAACTTAGGAATTTCTGCCTATTTGCTATTTAATTTAGTATGAAAGCCATACATGTATGGATTGATTCACTCTCATTTATTTCATGTAATTTGGAAACAACTCCAATTCAATGACTTGTTGTACTGAATGTAAAAAGTTCAACTGAAGCCAATTCACTCCAATAAGCTGGTCAAACATTTGTTCAGCAATATTAAATCTAGTCCAGTTTAACACAATCAGATTCAGTGCAATATAAATGTAAATTGATTAAATAAAATGCTGGACGGCAAACTTATCTTCTCCCAGATTGTCTCAGAACTGGATGAAGTTCAGTTAAATTCAGTTCATACCAATAAATCTAATCTACCATCATTATTACCAGTTTCAACTCAATCCAAAACATTTACAAGTCTGATCAAATGCAACAGAAACTCAGTAAATGATAAAATACTAAATGGTAGAAAAGTTGATTCTCTAAGGAGACCCATCGACTGCGTCTGATTACAAGCAGCACAACTAATTTAAAGTCCTAAATTACCAGATTAACTTGCATATAGTCCCATTTAATCCAGTTTGTTAATTGTCAATTATGACTAAATGCTGGAAAGTCATAGTAAGAACTTTGTAATTTAGATACTTTAACTTCATTTCAGCTAAATTAAGGTTAGTAATGTTGTGGGTCTTGATTTAATCTACGTTATCATATTTATGACATTTATAAAAAAAAAAATCCATCTCTAATTTCTTTTATTTAAATTTAAAAGCACTAATTAACACAAAAACATTTTTTTTTATTATAAAGTCATATTATTCAAACATACAGACGATTCAAAACCAAATACACCGATTTTAATGATGTTAAACCGAAAAAAAAGTGTGCGCTGTTCAAATCTATTCAAATAAACAATAATAATTTCTAAACAAGTCAATTTTAACCCAATCTAACCCAATTCTGATAACGTTTCAATAATTTACAGGTTTAATCCATCAAGTTAAACTTATTCAGGTTCAATTTGACTCAGTCCAAGTTAATTTAATCACAGCCGATTTAAATAAAATGACCTGATAGGAGCCAGTGGGTTGTGTCCAATCAGACAGAATAAAAACACCAAACACTAATATCTATAGTTCAACTAATTTTACTACAAACCAGTTTGTTAAGCCAAATTTAGACGTAAGACCATCTGAGAACATCCATTTATTTCATCCCAGCCTCAGGCCTTTTTTATGCTGAAAAAATCCCATTAATAATCTGTAAAAGTGATGTTTGATTCTGAGATTATTCCAACTGAATTCATCCCATAGTGAACAAATTAAATCTGACCTTCCCCAATTCTTCACAATTGAATCTGATATATCAGACTAATCCTATTAGTAAAGTTAAATATTATGAGTTTTCATGAGGTGGAATAATGTTACTTTAAGTATTCTAGTGGAATAAATTCCAGTTTGATCTAATAGGAAATAATTCAAAGTTGGCTGGTTTACTTGGTACTGCAGACATTCCAGTTAGATTTATAAATAAATAACCTGATAGTTTGCAATTCTGTCAGATCCAAGTCAGTTCAGTCCTACATGCTCAGATTCTGATGCCCTTGAGATTATATGCAGTCCTAATAAGTCCAGTTTGTTTGGATGCAGCCCAGTTAAATCCCAGATTAAATAGAGTTTAGTCAGATTCAGATTCAGTTTAATCAGAGTTCAATAAAACTAAATCATATTTGAATTAAATATGATTTATTTCATTAAGAAAGGCCACTGGAACCCTCCCAGTTAATCCAGCTGCGACTCAATCAGACTCTATATTAATGGCTAATCATCCAGAATTTGACTTAATCTACATGATGGTATGTTAAATAATATAAAGTTGAAAAGCAGCAGGTTATTAAGAGCAATTCCTCTGCAAAGAAACAGCTGAAGCTGTCTGTGTTTGTTTGTCTTAAATAACCTGTTATTATAAATTGATTTTGCATGATCAATTATTCAATTCCATTCAGTTTATTTCTATAGCGCCAATTCAGAACACATGTCATCTCAAGGCACTTTCCAGTTCACCAGATCATCCAGTCAGATTGATTCAAAGTTTTCTATCTAAGGAAAACCAGCTGATTGCATCGACTCATTGAATCAAATGCGATCTCTCACACTAAGCATGCTTGTAGCGACAGTGGAGAGGAAAAAACTCCCTTTTAACAGAAAGAAACCTCCAAGGAGACAGAAGCAGAGATACAAAAGGCAGCTGTAAAAGGCGGCCCCATCCAGGAAACACACAGCCAAGCAGATGAGCTTTGAGCCAACTCCCATGTCAGAGGATGAAGAGAGCACATCCAGCAAGTCCCAGTCAGAGAAACAGGACTACACTGAAAAAACAGGCTGAGCTTGAACATCTATAAAAAAAAGGTGTTGATGGCAGCAGCAGAGCTGATATTTCTCTCCAGGATGGAGTCACAGCCAAACAGGAACAGACGAGGCGATTATCAATTATCATCAGATTTATGTTTATACTGAACATGGAGAAAAACAAAATGTAATAAAGATGGGACTTAAATGCAGTGAAATGAATGTTTTTAAATCTTAACCAAAATGAACCAGTCCAGCTCAGTGTGGTTTAATATAAAAGTGAAACCACTCAAAATCATATCAGTAACAGTCAGATTCACAACAAAATCAATAATGTAAAGTCCAATTTAATCCAGTTCATTTGACTACAGCCTGCAGGAACTGAACTAATTAGTCCAGGATTGATCGGTTGATTGATGAGGAACACAAGTCACAGCCTCTCGTTTACTGCTTTTCCTCATATCGCTGCTTTTATGTACATTATTTCGCCTCGTTTAGACCATAATGTTTGAAAAAAGTTCAACCTAAGAGCAGCACAGATAAGCAGCTGGAGTGACTGCTGCCTGTTCTTGTCAGGAAACGTCAGCGATATTGAAAATGAGAGACGAGATGCAGCTGGCAGCTTCCCTGGCCCCTTCAAACGTCAGAAAAAGAAAAAAAGAATAAATCAAACGAGCATATGGTCTAAAAATAACAACCAGCTCCTACAGGTGGAGGCTGCTGATCAGAATCAAAACATCAAACATGAAGCACCTGAAACTAAAATGGCTGCGATAAGATTTCTCTCTGTTGCGACTCCTGTATCTGCAGAACACATCATTTAAACACCTTGTATGATCTCAGAAACGCACAAAGGTATAAAAACCTCTAATTCCTTAACGCCTCTGAGGTGCTTTGAGGATAATTTACCATCTCCTTGGTGTTAATGCTGGGACTGCTTTAGAGGGATGCGGGGAAACACCTCTGGTTTGGCGTGGGGACAGAAGGACGCTGTATTTGGCAGCACACTGAAAAGATGCTCCGTCTCCCATCAGACCCTACAGCCGGTCCGCTGCTAAACGGTTTGATTTGAAGGAGAGAAGCTGGTGGGAGTTCAGACTCAGACGGATGCAAATTCAATAAATTTCACCTTGGATGAAGCAGAACTTTCAGAAGTTCCCACCGGAAGTAGAGGAAAAAAGCTGATCCAGTGAATTTTTAACGACGAGGGAGAAAGTGGAGGATGGCTGAGATCAACCTTTGTTTCCTCTTCCATGGAAAACAATGAAACTTCCCATTCTTCTCCTCCTAACAATGAACTCTTTATCTGGCAGAACTCTGTGAGGAAAGCAGCGATGTGGTTTGTGATGGAGCTCCAGAAAGCAGCTCGCTCTCTGCTGCTACCTTTGTTGTTCCTTAATGACTACAATACCCAGAGAAGAGGAGGAGTGGGAAATAAATCCTGCTTATAACGCCATGTCCAGGCATGTCTTTGTGTAAGAGGGGATGTTAGCTTACATACCACATGTGGGATAAACCATATTACTGTTAATCCCCTCACTAATCTGCAAATGGCTTCTTTTTTCCCCCTCTGAATCTTTTGTTTAGACGTGAGCGGGATGACTTCCAAAGCGCGCCGTAATGATTAAAAGTAGATCTTTAGGACGGCTGATTTGCAGCAAATCCCACTTCCCTCCCAGATCCGCCCGGCAGCCGTATCGGGCGTGTTCCTTGGAAAATTAGGATGGTTTCAGAAAGCTCTCTTGTCAGGGATTGTTTTAAATCAAACTGGCTTCTGAATATTTCTGTTTGCTTATGTTTGCCCACTATGGCCTCCTCCAGGCAGCATCCTGTCAGTAGGAGGACCAGCAAACCTCTGAAGCTTCGTTACAACAGACTGATGAGAAGTGCAGCTGAGATGGAAGATGCTGCTCTAACAGGATGCCTGGTTTCTGCAACAACACTTTCTCTAACAAGAAGAACCAATCTATTGATCGCATTCCATATGGCGTATTAACATCCTAAAAGCTAATCGGTCCTAAATTGACAAAAGGTCAAAGTCTCATTGATTAAAAAAAAAAAAAAAATGAAAACCAATCTTTTAAATGACAACAAATCTCCTAAAACTAAGAATTTGACTTCTTTTTTTTAAATCTGCATATTGATTCTGAAGAAAATGTAGAAATAAATATGTGTTCTGATTCTACGAAAAATATAACATTTGATTTTTAACAGACTAAAAGGAAAAACATGGAATTTTTAAGAAAAAAAAAGTTAATTAAAATGAACAAATAATAAACAGTGAAATTAAACGTATCATGGAAGGCAAAGGAAAATAAAATAAAAACAGAAAATAAATTAATAATCTATATTTTAATTAGTGGTCAGCCGTTATCGACGTTAACGTGCTGCAGACTCTTATTGCCGTTAATCTGTTCACATAGTGGGGATGGGAGCTGGGTCTATACTAATGATGACTTTCACCTTGATATGTTGGTGCGGATGTATATCTGGGGGCGAGAAAGAATCAGTCTTTCTCGCTAACCTGTGTCGGCCTACTGTGAAATCACCACATCGAACGTGACGTGCTGACATGGATGCATCTAAAGCAGGAGGAACCAATTAAAACTCAGCGGGGTCCGAATTAAGAAAATCATCAACCAGTAAAGGTCCTCAGACATTTTTCATTATAATCTGTTACTTTAAACAGAATTTTACACCGAAATAAAATGAGGTGTTTATGCATTTCTGTTATACATTGAGTATAAAAAAATAAATAAATAAATATATATATATATATATATATATATATATATATATATATATATATATATATATATATATATATATATATATATATATATATATATATATATATATATATATATATATATATATATATATATATATATATATTTATATATATATATATATATATATATAAATACATATGTATTGTTTCCATTTTTAAATCTAAAGTGTTTTTTTAAGTAGGGAACAACAATCAATCAGTTTGGTACGTAGACAATTTCCTGATTCACATATTCTATTAGACACCTGAACTGACCGTTTCCTGTCTTAATGTTGGCAGTGGGCTTTATGCTGCCCTGCAAGGATTTAAACCTGGGTTTGAATGGAGACAAAGCCATTCTAAAGCACATATCAAGGAGCTCATTTTGAGCCTGGATCCATATTTATTTTTGATTCTGTTCATGGTGGAGAATCCTGCTTCACAGCAGCAGGTTGAGCCAAACATCCTCTAAATGTTCAGGATCATCTTTGAGCACCATTTCACTTTTCTTTCACCAGTTCACCACAGTTCTTCCAGCAGTCCACACTTTCTCTGCTCTCTTTTTCTCATCATCATCTCCTTCTTTCCCATCGCCCGGCTTGCCGCAGGTTTGCCTGCTGTGTCTAAATGTAGCAGCAGCAGCAACCCAGACTGACAGCAGCTCATTGGATCATTTGGATCACGTAAAGCCTGGTGCTGGACGCTCTGGAGGGCTTTACCGTATTAACAGGAGAAGCGGCGCAAGTGAAATTAGACACTGTCGTCAGATAACATGCGGGAAATTATAAATTTTTTAAATCAGGTTGGGTCCGGATCCGGACCGCAGTCCGCTAATCCAGGACCTCTGATCTATAAGCACAGCTCTATCCACCAAGCTAACCAATCTCCTCGCTCAGTGGATAGCCACAAGCTGAGCTCGTTCTCCAGGTGTCCACAGGTGACCCATCTTACAAACTACCTGCATGGCGAACTATCACAAGGAGAATAAATGACCAGCATGCCGCAGAGAAAGGCGCAAAAGATGAGAAGTTGATCAAGGCGACGTGAGAGTCAGATTTTTGGAGACACTATATTATTAAAGGTGGGCGTCTATAATTGAAAGTGGGACACTCTATTTCCTGCAGCAAAAAAAACAGTAACAAACGTGCAAAAAAAAAGTAAAACTTAAGTAAGAAGAGAAAATTAGAGGTGATTTTGCAAATATAAAAAAGTACACCTTTTCCTTTAAATTCTGGAGGTAGCACACACATGAATGCCTTTGACAGAATTCAAATTAACAAATTTAATGTAGATTATTCCATAATTACAGTGAGATTAATCTAGATTAAAACACAAAATGAGCACTGAACGGCGGCCCACTGGATCCGGTTCTCACCTGTCTCAGGGTCCACAGAGAAGTACGGCTGGCCCTCCAGGATGCTGTACACCACCTTGGCGCTGTTCCCGTACGTGGCATCGTCTGCGTCCACGGCCGTCACCTGAATCACAGAGGTTCCTGCAGAGAGAAAAAAACAAAACCAACCTAAAATCAGGACAATGATTCCCATCAACTCCTGGATGCTGCTGAAGGATGAGCCTGTGGATAATTGGTCAGGGCGGCTGCTCCTTCTGATGAGCTGTCCCATGTTCCTCTGAATGTGACTGATCGTTTCTGTCTCTTTACATTACCTGGAGCAATCTTTATCCCCACGCCCCTTATATCCACACACATGATTGATTTCTACAGGTAATCGATAGGCTCTAATGTAAACATATCTCTGCCTCCGATCCCCAGGAAGCCCATCAACATTTTAAAGTCTGTGAGAAACAGATACAGCGCCTGGAAAACTATTCAGCTTTTTAAGCTTTTGTTACACCGCTGCTACACATTCTGAATGCAGCTGGTAGCTTTAGTCTGAGCGATGCACCGATGTGAAAATATATCGATATCCAATATAATATTCTTTCACACAGAAAACAAATAGCAATGTGAATAAAATGTGTTTTTCTCCTTTCTCCTCACAACTTTGCTCTAATAAAATCCTAATAAATGCATCAAAGTTTGGGGTTTGCAATAGGATGAAATATAAAAAGTGAATATTTGTGTCTGTGACGGCAGGTGAACGTTTGTGATCCAGTTTCTCTTCCAGAAAGAACAAAGGGAAACCATTAGCCAAGTGCTACCTCCCAAACGGCGCCTTGCGGGCCAAGTGTTGCCTCATTACATGCAGAGGGAAATTAATTGAGTAGAAATATTTAATGGCAAAGTGCTATAAATACGGAATTGTGCGACAGAAGAGCAGAGTGACCTGATGGAGGTTTTGCTAATTTGATGTGGGCTGAGTTCTGTGTGAAGCGTTAGAACCAGAACCATCAGACTGAGGCAGAGCTGGGCTGTCTGATTCGGTTTAAATGACAGTTTTCGGGGAGATTCTTGAGGAAGTTCAGCGAACCCTGGTCGCTAATACCTTTGACAATGGAATTAGACTGGAAGAGGCTTTCTTCTGTCACAGATCCACATCAGTCACCTTTAAATCTGCTCCTGACAAAGGAGTGAGGAGCGATCACAGGATTATTTTTTCTTTTCTGCCTGTGATCATTCAGAGTTCACACGTCAGAGCTGTGAGGCTGTAATAAAACTTAAAGCCAGTGTCACTTTTAAAGGAGCAGTGTCTCTGCGCAGTCACTCGTGAACACATGCTCTGCCATGCGCTGACATCACACCTCGACTGTTGCCATGGGCACCCGTGCTGCCCTCAGATAAGTGCCGGCCCCTCTCTCGCTCGGGGTTGCTGAACCGAGTGACAAGCGTGTCACATGTCTGACCGCGGCGAGCATCAGCACAGCAAACCGCTCCTCTTATGTTTTCATGCAAGTATTGATTGGGAGCCTTTTTATGTGGTTTATCTATATTCATGAGGCCCTTTTAGACCGAGAGCTGCAGCCAGAGTGCATGCAGAATTAAACTTTAATCTGAAGGCGGATGGCAGGAGCTCATGATGATACAAATGGTGCAGCTTTGGGAGCCGCAGGAGTAAAATCCACACTTATTCGCTGCGGTGACACAGCTGACAGTGCTGCTAATTAAATTCAATTAAATTCTGCTTTAATAGACTACAATACTGTGTTTAAAAGATTATCTGCTGCAGCGGCTGTTTGGTCTGGACGTGGAGCCGCTCCTCGTCTCTCATTTAATTAGTCGTGCCCTCTTTGTTGAGTTGGCGTCATTATGATGATTGATAAAATCCCACTGATCCTCTGTTTTAGAACGTCCCCGGCCGGTCTGAATCATAATCCTGTTAATGCAGCTCAACCTTCACCTGCGCTCATATCATCAATTTATGTTTCCAGCAGCGAAACAGATGTTCTCTTTTCCTGGCTCAAACATTTTCCCTCTACTTTATAACTTTTATAAATCTCCTGACTGGAGATCAGCCTCTGGATCAAACCCTGAAAACGGATTGTGACCAAATCTGTTGGTTTTCCTTCAACAGATGCAGCTAGGGTTGCAATAGTTGGTAATTAGATGGAAACTGGTGAGGATTCAAACAAGGCAGTTTTAGATTTAGACATTTTGTCTAATCAAAGAACTATTCAATGTAATATCTTGGATTTAAACATTAATTCCATACAAAAAACATCCAACTATTCACCAACAAACAGCTTCTGAAATGAAACTCAGGATCCAAACTATTGGCTGATTTACAAACATGTCAGCAATATTAATCAATCACAGATGAACTTTAACATGAAATTTCTGTAAGGAATCTCTAACCCCTTCATCAAACAATCCATTAAAAATGCAGCTCCATCCTGCAGTAATCCTTAAATTATTTGCTTATATTGGAAGAAATTGCTCTTTAAGGGCATTCAGATGCGTGATAACACCCAATTTTTGTTCAGCAAGCTCTGCACTGGCGGCTTTCTGAAGGAGAATTTGTTGGAAACTCCTGGATGCTCTTCATTTCACCCTGAAGGTTGAAAGTTCCCTGCATATGAGGCTATTTAGAAGCTAAGAGTTAAAACTACTGTTTGCAGGCAAAATAGCCGAGACAAGCAGACCTCGTGCAATTTATTAAGAAATTAATCCAGTAATCAGATTGATGGAGTGATTTCAGCCTCACTATAATCATGTCATTTAATCATTTGAGCAGTACTACTGAAAAAAATGTTTTAGTTTTAGTAGTGAAGCTCCTTGCAAATCTTTGCTATGGTACCTTACAAAATTATTCAACCCGCTTAAAATTTCCCACATTAAAAATCTTGTATTTTATTGAAATGTTGCAACTTGATATTTGTAAATCTATGGCATTCATCTGCATTCTTTCCCTTTTATCCTGATTCCTTAAAATAAAATAAGTTTACACTTCCTTGGTCTCAGTTTTTAAAGTTTTATCCTAGGATAGCCTCAGCATTTAGTTTCATTATCCTTGCTGAAGAAATCCCCTCAGCATGATGCAGCCACCACCACACCTCATAGTGCGGAAGGTGTAATCAAAACTGATATAGATTGTTAGTTTAATCTGAGCTGGGAGCCCTCTGCTCTTCATCTATTAACTACTTAAGGAATGATTTTTTACTCATTGAAGCAGTTAAATTGTAATAATTACACTTTTAAATTTGTTTTTGGTTAAACTAAGAAAAATGTGGAAAAGTTTAATAGTTTATATTTTTTTTCCAGGTGGAGGCAGATTAATGTGCAGAAACGTACCGACGTCGGACATCTCTGGAACCCGTGCCATGTACGGGTCCTTGGTGAAGCGCGGCTCGTTGTCGTTGATGTCGTGGATCTTGATGATGAACTCGGACTCGCCCTCCAGCGCCTCGTTGGTGAAACGGTTGACGGCCTTGGCGTGCAGGATGTAGTAGGACTTCTCCTCGCGGTCCAGCCTCTTGGTGGCGTGGATGTCCCCAGACTTCTCGTCGATCTTGAAGAGGGTCCCCGCTCCCTCCCCTGTGAGGACGTACCTCACGCTGCCGTCTCCTCGGTCCCCGTCCGAGTGGAGCTACACAGAAAGACAGGTCGATTTAAATCCCTGCAGCCTCACAATAACAACAGGCAGCAGTTTGTATAATGTTCATTATAATAAATTTCCACTTTGCTGCTTTCTGCTGCTAATTGTTGCAGCAGTGCTTCAAACTCGGCTTCATAAGAGCTTTCACATTTGCTTAATTTGCTTTTATGAACACCAGGCTACAGCTTTTCAGGGGAAAATAAAATGATCAAAAGCTGCAGATAGAACAGTCAAAAAGAAAAAAGAAAAAACTCAGAGGCGAAGGCTTGACTGACAGAGGATCTCTGTCAAAAAAGAAAACAAAAAAAGAAAACACACATCCCTGCAAAGAAACACTTTGTACCAAAAACTGTCAGTAGAGAGCACTTTTCAAAGCAGAGTCGCAGTCCTCAACATGGCACATGCAAACATCAGCGTTCTGACCAATCTGGGCCTTGGCAAATAAACGCTGACAGCTTTGATCGAGCGTGTTTGGTGTCATTTAACAGATTCCTATCATCTTTAGTAAACTGTCACCGTGTTATGATGACACACGCTTCACCTCGCCTCTGTGAAATCTGCCAAGCAGAGAAGCTGCGCCCGCTGCGATTGTTGCACTCATGTTGTCACGCTCTCCTGTTGTGGGGTTTTCACAACGCCACCCGCTCCCTGACGGCCCTACCTGAACGCAGCCACCATGAGACGCCATCTTTCTCTGCTGCTTCTGTCTATACGCTGACAAATAAAACTGCTCATACTTTTCCAAAAAAGTCCATGACTGTAAAGTGGCTGAAAAATGTTCAGTAAGTGATCTTAAAAAGTGACTTGAATTTGTTCCCATATCACTTCAAGCATTGCTGCCCAACCTCTAGTCTTTTATCCTACATTTAGCTTCATCTATCTTCATGTTAATAGCATCCCTGCAGCAGACATTAGCATCTATTCAAAATGTCCCTTCCCGGTTAAATGCCAGCCGAATGGCAGCCAACTTCCCCACAACTCCCAGCAAAATACCCTCCAACTTCCAGCCACTGGAGTGACCCCTCCTGCATATATTTTTACTCTGACTCCACTCTTTTACTGAATGACAGAGTCTGACCAGGAGATGATGCTTCTCTTAGATCTTAATGTCATGACAGAAAGCATATTTTAGTACAAAGATTGATTTTGCTGCTATAGGCTTAGACTGATGGAGGACATAGGGACCCCTTTTTCATCATTCTGCTTTATTATAGCTCTATTCTATCACTCTTCAGAATCAGTTAGTTCAATCTCTAACGTTCTGCTCTCTCTGCTTTTTCTCATAGTAGCTTCACCTCGTCTGTTCCTGTTTGGCTGTGACTCCATCTTGGAGAGAAATATCAGCTGTGCTGCCACCAACATCTTTGTTTATGTTTGACATCTGCCTGTTTTTCAGTGTAGTCCTGTTTCTCTGACTGTGACTGGCTAGATGTGCTCTCTTCATCCTCTGTCATGAGAGCTGGTTCGGAGCCTGTCTGCCTGGCTGTGGCTCTGTATCTCTGCTTCTGTCTCCTTGAACCCCAGTCGGCCTCAGAAGATTGCCGCTCACACTGAGCCTGGTTCTGTTGGAGGTGTCTACCTGTTAAAAGGGAGTTTTTCCTCTCCACTGTCGCTAAAAGCATGCTTAGTGTGAGGGATTGCTGTCGAGTCAATGAGTCGATGCAATCAGCTGGTTTTCCTTAGATAGAAAACTTTGAATTAATTTGACTGGATGATCTGATGAACTGTAAATCGCCTTAAGATGACATGTGTTGTGAATTGGCGCTATAGAAATAAACTGAATTGAATTTATGTTTAAACAAGCAATTGTAGGGGACCAGCCAAGGGCCCATCAAGTCAAGTGGGGAAATTATAAATGGCTAATACTGTAATCCTTCCACTACCATGTTTCATAGAAGGAATAACATGTTCAGGGTTATCCATGTTCAGAAGAAGGACAGATTGTTGATTTTTCTGTAGAAAATGTTGAAACTTCATTCATTCCACTACAGAGTGCTACTCTGTGTTGGTTTATTGCGTAAAAACCTGATAAAATAGGCCTTCATACAGTGTGGTGGCTGCAATGCGATAAAATGAAAAAAAGTCTGAGGGGGATGAATAACTTTACAAGCCACTGTATTTCTGCCCCGCCTCCCCACATGAACAGCAGCTTAGCATGCTCTGACATTTTAATTCCTCTACTAAATCCCCCTTAACATATTTATCTCAGAGAACTCATCAAAAGGCCTGTCCACCCCTCTTCCTCTTTCTTCACCCGACTACAATAATAACCATGAACATTATAATCATAGCTGTATGTGGGAAAGAAGGGGTCAAAATGAGGGGCAAATGTCTGCAGACACAAGAAACTACAGAAACCTGATTAACCCAAGTAATTCTCTTTGATTCAGGGAGTTTTTTCAACCATTTTGTGCATTGCTTTCTGTCTTTGGCTCACAGTGAGGACAGATCGAGGGTGGATATTCTCGCATTGCAACTGGGTCACGTGGGAGCAAAGTCTGCCCTACTCATCACATCTTAAAAAGCTTTCCATCGCAGGTGCTCGGAGGCTTTACTAATTCATGGAGTTTTTATCAGGCCTGGCACATGTGAGGCCAACAGCTTTCTGGATTAGGGTATTTAACACTGTTTTGTTCGCCTGCCTATCCATCCCCAGTCGAGTGTGTCGCAGAATTTCACTACATTTGGATTAGGATCTTGACTGTTTCATTCACCCTCTTGAATTCTGGTCAAAAACGGCTCCTTCTGCACAGCCGGAGAATATTCTGCAGGATTTCATTTGCAGTGGGTTTCTGTTTTGCTGCATGCGCTTCCAAACACAGACTCGGTTGGCTGAAAACAATCCACTTCAACTTTATTATCTTTCTCCCTCTGTTATAGCTGCAATGTCCTTTTCTATGATTGTCTATCAACCTGCCTATCTCTGCCTCCACAACTGTTCAGTTAATAACCATCGAGTCCGCTCCTTTGGGCTGAGATGTGAGATAGACGGTGTTACACGCTCCGTGTCGACTGTCATTTCTATGGAAACAGAGAGATCTTGAGGTTCTGAAGAGTTCCTCCTCAGCTCCTGTGAAAGATATTACAAGACAGTTCATAGGATCGAAACTTCAACGCCTGCTGCTGTGACCCTGTCCCTCCCAGCTGCCTACCTTGCTGGTGAGAAAATTTTACTGCTGGCCTTCTACTCAAATTAAGAGGAAGAAGGAGGGGGGAAAAAACTTATGTAGAAATCAATGTGGCAGCCCAATGTGCATTCACAATGGCCCTTTGATCAATTTGTATTGAAAATACAATTAAACTGTCACAGGGGGAGAAAAGAAAGCCACATGTGCTTTCAGTGCGGTCACCAAGAGGCGCTGGCACGTCAATAGCTAGCCTTTTCTCCTTTGCTCCCCTACAGTCCCAAATTGTTGTAAAAAATGGCAGAGAACATGACGCTATATCCATTAACACTGGGGGTCTTTGTCTTTTCAAGACAGAGAAAGACTAAAAGGAAAGCACCGTCTCATTAGCTCACTGTGTTGATAATAAACTTTCATTTTATAAAAGGGAATTAAGTGCGATTAGGAGAAGACTCCATCTAGATACTCGTTAGACTGAGAACTGATTTCTTATCTTGGAGGAAAACGTATGAAAAGAAAAAGGCCTCATTTTACCGCTAGATTTAGCATATTTTTGTGCATATTTGTTTAGGAACTAGTGGCTGTTTAGCCTTGCCAAAGTGAACAAGGGAAAGATTAAGCAGCTATGTTTATACTTAGCTCTGAACAGTAAAACGTATTAAAAGAAGCAGATAGTTTACAAAGCATATTCTAGTGACCTCTAGCTTAGCATAGCTTAGCTTAGATTAAAAAAAAGTAGGGTAATTGATTCTATTTGCAGCTGGATAGCTTTGTAAATTACTACCATTTTTAAAACTGATTTTAAAAATATACTAAGCAGAAGATTAATAGCTAACTGGGTACTTCAGTTTATCCTAGCTTAGCGGGGTAAAAGTAAGTATAGAAAAATAGTCAAACTATCAGGTTGTTTTTTGTTATTTTTGTCTCAACATATCATTCCAAAAAAAACAATCCACTGGACTTTTTTTTTCTTCCAAGTTTGAAGACGTTTCACTTCCCATCCAGGAAGCTTTTACAAAATCAAATTTCACCTGTTCAGACAGGTCAAAAATTCCCGCTGACGACCCCCCCCCCCTTTCAGAGACATTCATAAGGGGTAGACCTGTACATTAATATAACATTTTGTGTTTTTCATATTACTATTTAATTGCAAAACATATAATGTTGCATATATCTCATCCAGTTTGAGCTCAGTTTAAAAATTTTAATTTAAATTTGTAATCTAACTGAAAGGTAATTTTAGAATTTGTTTAGGTCTTTTAAGGGGTTGTGACACATAAGAGATTATTGTAATATTATCTCTGACTGGTGTTTCATGTTATTCTATTCATTCTGACAGGAACTGTTGGAACTGTGGTCCGATCCAAGATGGCCGCCCTCTAGGCACGTCAGCCTCGCTACATATATGTTTTCAGGGAGTCTCCTCTTGAAACGACTGTTATTGCAGTGAAGAAGGAGAGCGTGGTTATTGGGACAAATCTTAGCAGACAACTTCATCTAGAAGCTGGTTACTTTAGATCAACCTAATTTAGTCTGTTAAGCTTTTAGTACCATGTAAATTATTAAAAAGCTAATTTTATATCCATGTTATTAGCCTTTTCTAGGGTAAAGTCAAATTAAAAGAAAGGAAGAGACCCATGGCTAGGACCTTGTTAACTCAGATAGGGAAAGTGTACCTTAGCTAATTTATATAGAAGCATTGACTGAAAAATTGATCGATTCTTAAAAAAAAAAAAAAAGCCATTTTGAAGGACAAGTTCCAATTAGGCCTAATTAGCATAAGGACTTCTACTCATTTGAAAAACCCTAGAGTTTTATGACAAGTCCCATTTAAAAGACACACAAATTTTGAGGTATGTGAGTCAC